GGCCAATTTTTTTTTTTTTTTTCTGGTTTTCGTATTCGGGCACGTAGGTACACGTGTCTGAAGCCCAACGCGCAAATTCCGTTTTTCCAAATACGACGCGACACCCCCGTTTTTGCGTTTAACGCGATTTAACGGGGGTCGGGGGCCCGTTAAACGGATGAATGCGCGTTCAATTTTTTGCGTTCTCCGTTAAAAAGATACACAGCCCGCGAGCATTTCGTGTCAGCCTAGTGACTCAGCCGGGTACCTCCTGATCAGTGGCTGCGAACCCCTGCTGGCGCCCCCCGACTGCGAGTTTCGGGCGCGAGGCTGCGCCCTCTGCTAAGGATTCCTGAACAGAACGATACGTGCTTCGGGCGGGCATTAGTTGTACCTCTTAGCTCGTGAACTGGCCATTCGGGGACGGAGAGAGAGAGGGGGGAGAGTGAGAGAGAGAGAGTCGCTGCATACTCACCTGCCTGCTTCTCGCAGCATACTACGTGCTTTGTGTTCGCCCGTTCCTATCGCGTCACTTCTCTGCATGAGGGTCGCACTGTTCGGGCAATCCTTTCATTACGGTGCAAGGTCCTTGCTACTCGCTTCGTCCTTATTTATTACGCTACAAAGTGGGCGAAAGAAAGAAAGGGAGAGAGAAAGAGAGGGAAGAGAGAGAGAAAGAGAGAGCAGAGAGAAAGAGAGAGAGAGGGAGGAGAGAAGTGACCAAAACGATTGGAGTGTCTTCGCTGCAGTCGTTTGTCTTGGTCATTCCAGGGGCTGGCCAGTACAGAGGCGGCTTGGGGAGAGCTTCTTGTCGGCGCAAAGGCCGAGAACTCAGATCTGTGCTGCGAGCTAACGAAAACCGGGTTGGCTCTGTTATTCAGGTGACCGGTTGGGACTGAGTTCGTTGAGAGAGCGTTCCCGGTTGGCATGAGGCTATCCGGGCTCGTGAACTAGGATCAGTTTCGCAAAGTTGTCTGGAAGGAAACGGGCTTGGGTTGGTTCCAGCTCTTCTTTTGGCTTGAGGTTCTGAGGTTTGTCTTACAAGTCCGCCTGAAAGAAAAACGGGAGTCTGGTTCTTCTCAGTTCCGGTTGGGTGCTTTCGCTAGGTAAAATTCTGAAATCCGTCTGAAAGAAAAAAGGGAGTCTGGTTGGGCTATTTTTTTTATTTTTGTCGTCCCTCTCAGTTTCGGTTGGGTGTTTTCGCCAGGGTAAATCAGAAATCCGTCTAGCAGGGAACGGGAACTGGGTCGGACAAATTATTTCAGTGGCTGTTCTGCTTAGTTTCGCCGTAACCCCATCTGTTTCGAGCGAAGTTCCTGTGCTGGTGAAGTCTGAGAATTGCTCACCTAGCCCTGTCTGAAAGGAAGAGGGGACTGGGTTGGGCGAGTTGCCCCCGAAGGTGCCTTTTCTGGAACGTCGAAATCAAGTCCGACTCGGTTATGCGGGGCTGATCGGGGCTGTGGAAAGAAACAAGAACCGAATTGGGTGACGCCTTATCGAAAACCGTACGGCAAACCCCGCTGGGAAGCCGCCGATTCCGAGGCGGGCTTTTAGACTGCTCGGGCTAGAGAGCCTGAAGGAAGGGAGGAGTCTAGACCGCCCCCTGAACAAGGAACGGGATCTAGGCAAGACCTGATCGCGTCTTGTGCAAGCCTCCACAGCCCGACAGCGGAATGGGACAGGAGCCACAAGAGCCCTGCCAATTTGAGACTGGGTAAGTGTGGGAGAGAGGCCCAAACCAACTTCATCTTTGCGATTGACGAGCCCGGCTGCAGGTTGAACGTTCTGGTCAATCTTTCACAGATCTGGTCCATCTTGGCTTCTGGTGGCCTCTGTATTCTCCTTCCCAACTTCGTGTCATAGTTAACCGAGGTTGTGACGCCCAACGTCAAGCCCGGCGCGACCTCCTGATCGGAGTGTGAGTGGGCCTGGAAATGCAAAAATGGGGTGTGCCAAGGATTTTAGGAAAGTGGGGGTGGAGTCCCAGGTCGGAACTGAGATCTCCTGTGGCAAGCTCCGAGATATGAATGCAGGAGGGTAGGCATGGACAAGAGTTCCGTTTTGCTTTGGGGCATAAAGCTACCGCCTCCATTGGTTCCGCCGTCCGGGTCGGGGTCGTATCTGATGCACTATCCGGACGCTATGGGTATCCCGCTGATTCGTCACCTGCCGACGTCAAACGTCGCAAGTCTCTGAATCTGATGCGACTGGCCTCAATCGAAGATTGTGCACCCGTCGTTCTTCCTCCGAACGAGTTGGTCGGATAAAGCCAGACGCTCGGTACTCGTCGTCCAGAAGACACTCTGGGCACAAGGGTTGGGGCCAGTAAGGAGCCATTGCGAGCCAGGGGACGACGGTTCGGAAGTGGCAGGGAGGGAACTCGGTCCCAAAGATAATGATTCCGGGTCCTGTGAGGACGTGATACGTGTATGGGCTAGAGTAGGTGGGGAGATGGGGATTACGTCCCAAGGCCTGGTCGAGGTCCCACTCGCAAATACGTTCGTTCCCCATTAAGTAGGGAAATTCCGGAGGTTCCGCCCAGGGTCGTGCAAACAAACAAGAGTGCTCCCAATATTCCCGGAATTTCGGATCCCTCAAACACTCGCGGTCAGTGACACAAAAGGGAACGCCGAAATTCATGCTGCAAGTCGGGTTGGAACACCAGCCATTCGGGAAATTAATCGAGTTCAGGTTTCGCCGACGCGCGTTTAGGCAGCGATCGTCTTTGGTCGAGCCTACACGTGCGTGCGCGGGACCTGTCCTTCGATCAGATGGGTGAAAGCCAACGATTCACGAGATCGGTCATCCTATAGTGCGACGACCATCCAATAGCTAGCATGCTTATCCAATTCATACACGGATAGGATCACGCCTATCGTCCATGCATCTAGCTTACATACAAACATAAAGAATCAAGGATCATACGACAATTTTTTGGCTATTCAGCCCAGAGATCACACAAGGCTCGATCGCCAGGAACCAATCAATCAGATTTGCTGATCCAAAAAGACAGAGATGGTGTCGGTGCGAACACCCTTACAAGGGTCGCCCTGTTTTTTGCAAGTAACAGAAATAACTTTGGTTTAAAGTTTAACTATAGTGCGAGAGGCGCGACTGTGTCTGTGGTTTACGTTGACTGGATGGTTGAATAGACCAGAGAGTGTATGGGCGTGCAAGTTTGAGGCGCTCGTGATCCTTTTATTTTGATGATTGAAGAGTCAGCGTGATCGCCGACCCAAATTTTATTTCTAAATAAATTAGCATTTAAAAGATTATGTCTCTGGATTGATGTGTTTGCCTGTGACCTGTGCGTAAGTATGGAGGACGATATCGACAACAATGTGATTTTTCGGTAGATCTGCGTGTCGCGCAGTATCGGTTTATTTAGGTGTTCGTCAAAGTTAGACCCAACCTTGGGCCTAACTCTATTTTGTTACAGTGTCGGGCTTTTAACAGGGAAATTTAGGGATCGAGACCGAGCGGCGACGTCTTGGGAGTATCAGAGTAGTGCGAAGGGACTGAGGGGTTGAGGGCACAGCAGGGCTATCCCCCTTAGTTTTGTCGTCGGCGGCATCATAATGGTGCTAACGGGTTCTTTTTCCTCGTTCGACATATTTTGACGAGTTAAAAAGTATCTAAATATTTTATTATCCTAACGTTGGTAGTATATTTCGCAAATGTCTCGGCGGACCCTTGGTCAAAAATGGCATTTGGACTTAGGAGCCGTAAACCAGGCCGACGTGCCAGTCGGGCAACGTTTAGGCCTGACATTACCAGCTGGGACTCTCATGCGTTCGGGATGCCGACTAAAAATTTCCTTATCCACCCGTTGTTCGACGCTATCTTGAAGTTCGGACTGGGGAAGTTCCACGTGCATATGAGTCGGAGGGTGATCAGTCAGCGAGGCGGAATAAACTTGAGTGGCAGGGGCCCTAAGCCCGAAAGCAGTGTTCGTGCCTGTCGAACCGGATCTGGCCCTGTGCAGTCCCAACTGTGGGACTGTCGAAAGTATCCTTCAACGTCCGTTAAAATTGGATCGATACATAGAAGATTAGCATGACCCGTACGGAAGAGCGACACGCATAAAAAGGAAAAAGTCGGGCGCCCTGGGGCTTTTTGTTTTACTTTCCAGTCGACGCCTTCCCTGTCGGAATCGGACGCCCGCAGAAAGCAGTGCTACGACGGGAGGCGCTTGCGAAGCTGCGAAGGGAGGTGTTGTCAACGCTACAACGGGGAGGCACTACGAGCGATACAACGAAGGTCGGGGGAGAAATGAGAGAAGAGGACACGGTGGATGCTATCGCTTGACGGAGAGGAAGAAAAACGAAGAAAAAACCTAGGCGCGATCCGCGCCGGGTGCATTTGAAGCATAGGATGACAGAGCAGAGAGGGACATAGGAGATGGCGGACTGGAGATTGCGAAGCGCATCCGATTCTTGACGGAATCGGGCAAACTGAGATGCTACCTGGGGGTTTTAATGGCAGGTGACCCCGAATCTACGGTTAGATTAGTATGAAAGTTAGCAGAAGAAGAGTTATCAGGAGAAAGTGTTGGGGTGATGGTGCTGGCAGAAGGGAAAGCGTGAGAAACACCCGACTCTTGGCAACATCCGACGAGGGAGGAGTCGAAACCGAGGTTTGGAGGTGTTGCGAACCCAATGGCGTAGTCGGATTTTGCGGAGACATAGTGGATTTTGTGCTACGAGGGTTACTAGCTGCGCGCAGGAGGGAAGCGCTGCTACGGGGCAATGTATCTCTCCGCTTTTCAGCGGAAGATTCATTTGATTTTGCTCATGCGAGCGGTTTAAGTCGCGGGAGGCTAGCTACATGGTTGAATACTTACCTGTGCAAAGTGGTGATAGTCGTTACATCATCCACCAAGACCGTATCGCCTGTGTGTAGAACTCCTTGAGCATGGTGTTGTTATGGTGTTTTCACTGTTGTGGTTAGTAGTTCTTGATTCAACTAGTTGAACTTGGCCAGATAGCGGGTCAGGTGCGAAAGGCGGGAAAAGGTACTCACCATCGGGAATTGGTTGTGTGTCTGTCTCGATTTCGACGGAGGATTCACTCCTGCCCTTGGAATTTGTGGGTTACTCGATTGGCAGTCATATGCCACTGTTGAAATACGGAAGTGAGCGCGAAAGAGAAAAAGCCGCGGAGTAAGAGGCTACCTGATGGCCAAAATTGTGCTCATCCTGTCGAACCGAAGAAAGGGGGGGACAACCGTAAGCTCGAAAACTCATCAGTCTAGCATGAACACTGCTTGTCGTATCAAGAGGAGTGGCAGTTGGTGAACTGCGGGATTTAGGAGCTTGCTTGCTGATTGGAACATTGCCCGCCTCAGCGAGCAGGCTTGTGACGGGCAGGCTGCGAGGATTACGGGACAGTCTACTGGCCGGTACACCTCTTGTCCCAGCAGCCTGTGCGATAACAAATCAGCTGCAGAGGCTACAAGCTCGTCCCGTGAACGATATGTCATCCATCTCGTTGACCGGAGCAGCAGGGGATAGACAGCGGAGGACGATTCAGCTGTTGGTTGGCATGCTGCACATCTCTACCGACCAAAGTGGCGTAAGTCAAGCTGTGGGCCGATCACTCGTTGGGGCTTGAGGCAGGGCAAACAGTTGGTGTTTGCGCGCACTCTGTCGTTGCGTAACAAATCAATCTACACTGCTACTTTACTATGGAGAGAGGAAGACGGTGTTTTGAGTTGCAACCCGTGTGGTGAGGTTGTCCTTAATCTGCTTTGGGTTACGAGCAGCGGAGGGGTTGAGCTCATTGAAGGGAGGTTATTGCTGCAATTTGGAGGAGCCGTCGGGGAGCTGGCAACCGACAGTTTGACTTTAGGATTGACGAACTACTAAGCATTTTGGTTGCCATTGCGGGGCCCTCAGGCGGTAGAAGATAACAAGGCCCTCTCCTGCGAGTCTGGGTGCACCTCTTTTGGATCTGAGAGTCTCAACCTATC